AACTCTTGCATAATATCTTTTGGATTAACAAATTTATGTTTTTGTGTGAGGACCCTTCACCTAAGAGATCATACTGAGAGACTAAGAAAGATGCTTTTCTAGCTGACATAATATTTCCCCTGTAGTTCTAGTCTCTAGAGCTTAAGAAATAACATCTGTTTAAAAGGTTTGTGGGTGGAGCTTGGGGGTGTCAAGTTCAGGAATTTGAATTAGATAGAAGCCTAGGATGGAAAAAAAATTTAAAAACATGCCAAAGATAGGATCCAAAATATGTAGAACCAAATAAACTACAATCAGAATCCAAAGCTAAGTTCACACATCATATTGTTAAGACGGAAAAGGTCCATAGTAAGATTCAGAATACAAGGAGGGTACAGGAAGACTGGTTGCAAATAGTAAAGCGTCTGTATATTTTTCTTTTCCTTTTTTTTGAGATGGAGTTTCACTCTACTTGCCCAGGCTGGAGTGCAATGGCGCAACCTCGGCTCACCGCAACCTCTGCCCCTCAGGTTCAAGCAGTTCTCCTGCCTCAGCCTCCTGAGTAACTGGGATTATAGGCATGTGCCACCATGCCCAGCTAATTTTGTATTTTTAGTAAAGATGAGGTTTCTCCATGTTGGTCAGGCTGGTCTTGATCTTCCACCCTCAGGTGATCTGCCCACCTCAGCCTCCCAGTGTGTTGGGATTACAGGCGTGAGCCACTGCCCCTGGCAGCTTTTATTTTTTTAAATTTTTTTAATCAAAAGCTGCCTACGTAGTTTCTCCTGAAGCAGAGCTTCTGTATACTTTTCTAAAGAGGGTTAAAAATGTAAATAGTCAGGCTGGACACCGTGGCTCAGGTCTGTAATCTCAGGACTTCAGGAGGCTCAGGCAGGCGGATCACGAGGTCAGGAGTTCAAGACCAGCCTGGCCAACATGGTGAAACTCCATCTCTACTAAAAATAACAAAAATTAGCCAGGTGTGGTCGTGGGCGCCTGTAATCCTAGCTACTTGTTAGGCTGAGGCAGGAGAATTGCTTGAATCTGGGAGGCAGAGGTTGCAGTGAGCTGAGATCACACCACTGCACTCCAACCTGGGTGACAGAGCAAGACTCCGCCTTGGAAAAAAAAAAGATGTAAATAGTCACCTATGTGACTGGTAAAGCTGGATGAGAGATGAAGTAACTTCATCCCTTATTTGGTCAAAGGTTCATATCTGGCAGCCAACCCTGATGCCTGACTACATAGTATGTTATAGATTAAATCAGACCGTATAGGTACTTGATAAACAATGTTAAGCCAATAAATTAGTATACCTTACATTTTTTTAAATTGTTATATTGAGGAGTTCCTGATAATTAACTTTTAGTTACATTATCTGTAGACAGAAATGATTGTATGCTTACGTGGAAGAAGTCATCACTTGTATTAAACAAAGAATTATGTGTATGCTGCAAAAACTATTGCGAAAAATCTAACACTAATAGCCCAGCCTTGCAAAAGCCACTTACCCATTAATCACAGTTTTGCTAGCTTGATGTTCCTATTATAGCTTTAGTTTTCAAGTTCAGCATTCTGCTAATTATTTATTCCTTTCCATTTCATAGCTAAAAACTGTATTTGGTGTTGACTAGGGCTATGTGGTCCAGACAGGAGTAGGAATGGTTAAACAAGAGGTAGATTAAGACATTTTTACCTTCCTCTTCTTTCTGATATGAAAAAATATATAGGGTTATTGATAACCACGTTTAGATGACACTTAGATCAGGCAAGATTTTACTGGAAACATACTCATAGACTAAAAATATGTATTCCAGTTGGGTACGGTGGCTCATGCCTGTAATCGCAGCACATTGGGAGGCTGAGGCTAGCAGATCACTTGAGGTCAGAAGCTCTAGATCAGCCTGGTCAACATGGTGAAACCCTGTCTCTACAAAAATAAAAAAATCAGCCAGGTGTGATGGCGCATGCCTGTAATCCCAGCTACTCAGGAGGCTGAGGCAGGGGAATTGCTGGAACCCAGGAGGCGGAGGTTGTAATGAGCCGAGATCGCACCACGGCACTCCAGCCTGGGTGACAGAGCAACAATTGGTCTCAAAAACGTTTTCCATATTTCAAAATATATATATTTTAGTTATCTACGAACAGAATAGAAAGGCTTTTTTGAGACAGGGTCTCAGTCTGTTGCCCAGGCTGGAGCGCAGTGGTGCGACTGTAGCTCACTGCAGCCTCAACCTGGAAGGCTTAAGCAATCCTCCTGCCTCAGCATCCTGAGTAGCTAGGAGCATAGGCACATGCTACCACGCCTGGATAATTTTTTATTTTTTTGGTAGAGATGGGGTCTTCCAATGTTGGCCAGGCTGGTCTCGAGCTGCCAGGCTCAAACAATACTCCCCTCTCAGCCTCCCAAAGTGCTGGGATTACAAGCTTGAGCCACTGCACCTGACTGACTTCTTTCTAATTGACCCTGAATATAATTCTTTTTTTCTTTTTTCTTTCTTTTTTTTTTTTTTTTTTTTGAGACGGAGTTTCGCTCTTGTTACCCAGGCTGGAGTGCAATGGCGCGATCTCGGCTCACCACAACCTCCGCCTCCTGGGTTCAGGCAATTCTCCTGCCTCAGCCTCCTAAGTAGCTGAGATTACAGGCACGTGCCACCATGCCCAGCTAATTTTTTGTATTTTTAGTAGAGACGGGGTTTCACCATGTTGACCAGGATGGTCTCGATCTCTTGACCTCGTGATCCACCCGCCTCGGCCTCCCAAAGTGCTGGGATTACAGGCTTGAGCCACCGCGCCCGGCCCCCTTTTTTTTTTTTTTTGAGATGGAGTCTCCCTCTGTCACCTGGGCTGGAGAGCAGTGGTGCCATCTCAGCTCACTGCAACCTCCACCTCCTGGGTTCAAGCAATTCTCCTGCCTCAGCCTCTCAAGTAGCTGGGACTATAGGAGCATGCTATTATGCCTAGCTAATTTTTTGTATTTTTAGTAGAAACAGCGTTTCACTGTGTTAGTCAGGATGGTCTCAAACTCCTGACCTCATGAGCCGCCCGCCTTGGCCTCCAAAAGTGCTGAGATTATAGGTGTGAGCCACCGCGCCCATCCATATGATTCTTTTTTTTTTCTGAGACGGAGTTTCACTCGTTACCCAGGTTAGGGTGCAATGGCGCGATCTCGGCTCACCGCAACCTCCGCCTCCTGGGTTCAGGCAATTCTCCTGCCTCAGCCTCCTGAGTAGCTGGGATTACAGGCACGTGCCACCATGCCCAGCTAATTTTTTGTATTTTTAGTAGAGATGGGGTTTCACCATGTTGACCAGGATGGTCTCGATCTCTTGACCTCGTGATCCACCTGCCTCAGCCTCCCAAAGTGCTGGGATTACAGGCTTGAGCCACCGCGCCCGGCCCATCCATATAATTCTTAATAGTCCCCACACTTCATGCCAAGGTAGTCTCAAAATTCTTCTGGTAGCATGAGCTCTATAAGGTTTTTCTCCATCATAATCAAGTTCAGACTATTCTCTTGCTACACAAAGTTACTTCAAGAGTTTATTTAGGTTTAGTTTTCCTAGTTCCCCATCTTGATCAGCTAAAGGTTTTTATCAGTTTCCTCTCATTACTTTGTTCTCTTTCCACTTGGCATTAGAATAAAGAGATGATAGTCACAGAAACACATCCTTAGGTTTACAGAGTAAGTTCCAGATCCACAGGGAATCATTTTCTATTCTTTTAAAAAGAGCAACCTCCATTACCAATGGAAACCCAGTTGTTCTTTGTTTGCTTTTGTTTCCTTCAGAGTCTACTTCTGATAGACTACCTTAATTTTTAACTTATTCCAAAACCTACTCTTCATTAAACATTTTATAGCATTTATTAGATAATTGTAATATGTTCACTGGATATACAGTTAAGCAAACTGAAGAAAACAAACGATCTATGACCTCATCAGCCTTTGCGGTGTTTCTTCTACACATATGTGTATGCATATGAATATTCACACAAATTTAAAAAGTTATCTTCTGGTGCATATGTGTGTGTGTGTGTGTGTTTGTGTGTGTGTGTGTGTGTGTACACACACACACATATTTATGTATGTATGTACATATATATATATGGGCATACATATGCACATATATATGTGTGTGGGTATATAATTTTTTTTTTAGACCGGGTTGCCCAGGCTGGAATGCAGTAGCACAATCTTGCCTCACTGTAATCTCCCAAATAGTTGGGATTGCAGGCAGGCACCATCATGCCCGGCTAATTTTTGTATTTTTAGTAGAGATGAGGTTTTACCATGTTGGCTGGGCTGGTCTTGAACTCCTGACCTCAGGTGATCCTCCTGCCTTGGCCTCCCAAAGTGCTGGGTTTACAGGTGTGAGCCACTGCCTGGCCTGGGACTTTGGTTTTATATGATTTCAATTTCTAAAACACATTGGAATTGATATTTTTCAAAAATGCAGCAGGGCACGGTGGCTCACGCCGGTAATCCCAGCACTCTGGGAGGCCAAGGTGAGTGGATCACAAGATCAGGAGATGAGAACATCCTGGCTAACACGGTGAAACCCTGTCCCTACTGCAAATACAAAAATTAGCTGGGCATGGTGGCGTGTGCCTGTAGTCCCAGCTACTTTGGAGGCTCAGGCAGGAGAATCGCTTGAACTCAGGAGCTGCAGTGAGCCGAGATCGCGCCACTGCACTGTCTAAAAAAAAAAAAAAAAAAAAAAAAAAGAGAATGTCTTTGTCCTTAGGAAAGACCAAAAAACAAAACAGAACAAAACAAAACAAACAAACAAAAACCAAAAAATTAGCCAGGCATGGTGGCATGCGCCTACAGTCCCAGCTACTCCAAAAGCTGAGGCAGGAGAACAGCTTGAACCGGGGAGGCAGAGGTTGCAGTGAGCTGAGATCACACCACTGCACTCCAGCCTGGGCGACACAGAAAGACTCTCTGATCAACAACAACAACAACAACAACAACAACAAAGCATCAAGTTCAAAATATCAGCAAAAAGCATTCTAACACTTTTGTTTTTCATTTTAATTGGATAAAAAGAACAACCGGCAGGGAAGACTTGGTAGCAGAGGGAGACAACAGGGAAGGCTGGGTATGAAATAATGTTCTAGATGGTATGTAAGTGAGGAAAAAAATGTTCTGGCTATGAATAAAGTCTTAAGTAATCAGATAATTGGGAAGCTACCACCAGTCTCAATTCCCGTCTCCAAGAATCCTCTTCACGCTTTCAACTAAGCGTCTTGTAGTTCGCAAGCTAGGGGAGTAGTGGAAACAGACTTAGAATTTCTGCAGAAACCTGTTTTCTCTTTTTCATTTCTTTTTTTTTTTTTTTTTTTTTTTTTTTTCACTCAGACCTCAGAACGAGGCTGCTTTATTGGACGCTGTTCTGACATCACTTTCCAGACTGTCTCTCGGTCTTGGGAACAGGCATGGGAGGCAGGGAGGGGAATCTTCTGGGACTGTGGGCAGTGGCTGGGGGAATGGAGGGGTGGGAAGCAGCTCAGTTGCCGGCGCTCCTGCGACTCGTGGATGTAGTCCGGATGGAATAAGCCTTCAGGGGCCCAGGACCCACACTGCTGGAGAAGCTCAGGGCATTGCTGCCCATGGTACCCCCGAAGCTCAGCCCAGTGCCACCACCACTGCCACTGCCACTGCCTCCAGTGGAATTCACCACAGAGATATTCACGGCTCCCACTCCATCTCCGGCCAACCGGCTCTCCTTGCCCTCCAGCAGCTTGTGGTATGTGGCAATCTCGATGTCCAGGGCCAGCTTAACGTTCATCAGCTCCTGGTACTCACGCTGCCGTGCCATGTCCTGCTTGGCCCACTGCAGGGCGGCCTCCAGCTCCTCCTGCTTGGCACGAGCATCCTTGAGTGCCAGCTCTCCGCGCTCCTCAGCCTCAGCAATGGCGGCCTCCAACTTGGCACGCCGGTTCTTGATGGCGTCGATCTCAGCCTGCAGCCTCTGGATGGCCCGGTTAATCTCTGCAATCTAATTCCGGGTATTCTGGAGGTCGTCCCCATGCTTCACAGCCTGGGCCTGGAGGGTCTCAAACTTGGTCTGGTACCAGGCCTCAGCCTCAGCCCAGCTGCATTTGGCCATCTCCTCATACTGAGCCTTGACCTCAGCGATGATGCCGTCCAGGTCCAGGGAGCGACTGTTGTCCATGGACAGCACCACAGACGTGTCCGCGATTTGGGACTGCAGCTCTGTCACTCCATTTAATGGAGGGTCCTGAGGAAGTTGATCTCATCACTTAGGGCGACCACCTTGGCCTCCAGCTCCACCTTGCTCATGTAGGCAGCATCCACATCCTTCTTCAGCACCACAAACTCATTCTCAACAGTCGTGCCGCGGTTAATTTCATCTTCATACTTATTCTTGAAGTCCTCCACCACATCCTGCATGATCCGCAGCTCCGCCTCCAGGCGGCCCCCATCCACCTGCAGCGCCTCAAGCTGCCCTCTAAGGCCAGCAATCTGGGCCTCAAAGATGTCTGGGAGGCGGCTGCTCTTGGCTGACTTCTGCTCCTGCAGCAGCGCCCACTTGGTCTCCAGCAGCTTGTTCTGCTGCTCCAGAAAACGCACTTTGTCAATGAAGGAGGCGAACTTGTTGTTGAGGGTCTTGATCTGCTCACGCTCCTTCTGGCGCACCCGTTGGAGGGAGGGGTCGGTGTCCAGCTGCAGCGGGGCCAGCAGGCTCTGGTTGATGGTGACCTCGCGGATGTCGGCGCCGACCGGGCCCCCATAGGCGGAGCGCATAGTCACGCGCGGCCATCAGGCGCCCAGGCTGTAGAGGCTGCTGCTGCCGAAGCCGCAAGGGCGCGCGGGGAGCTGAAGTGGATGGACACCGTGGCTGGGCCGGGCTGGACCTAGTGGCGGGCGAGGAGGAGCGCGCAGTCGCTCCTCTTTTTCATTTCTTAACTAATGCTCCCCATTAGGAGCTATTAGTACATCAAGAGTGTATGAAAAACAGCAATTAAACTTGGTAACTAAATACAAATATAATTTCCCTTTGACAAGCTAAAAAACATACTTTAATAATCCTTAATGAAGGCAGTAGTAAATAAACCATTAAGCTGAGAATTAACGTATCATTCAAGTTAGTTAAGACAGAATTTGCTGGCAGGGCGCAGTGGCTCACGCCTGTAATCCCAGCACTTTGGGAGGCCAAGATGGCCGGATCATGAGGTCAAGAGATCGAAATCATCCTGGCCAACATGGTGAAATCCCCTCTCTACTGAAAAAAAAAAAATTAGCTGGGCGTGGTGGCACGCGCCTGTAGTCCCAGCTACTCGGGAGGCTGAGGCAGAATGCTTGAACCCGAGAGAGTCGGAGGTTGCAGTGAGCTGAGATTGAGCCACTACACTCTAGCCTGGCACCTGGTGACAGAGCAAGACTGTCTCAAAAAAAAAAAAAAAAAAAAAAAGAATTTGCTAATGTGTTGTTCTTTTTTTTTTTTTTGGAAGACATGGTCTCAATCTGTTACCCAGGCTGGAGTGCATGTGCCGTTCTTTTTTACACATTAGTCAATTAAAGTTACTGCTATCACAGAAGTGTTCATATTTGGCTGGACGTGGTGGCTTACGCCCATAATCCCAGCATTTTGAGAGGCCGAGGCGGGTGGGTTACGAGGTCAGAAGTTTGAGACTAACCTGGCCAACATAGTGAAATCCTGTCTCTGCAAAAAAATACAAAATTAGTTGGGTGTGGTGACACATGGCTGTAATCCTAGGTACTCGGGAGGCTAAGGCAGGAGAATCACTTGAATCTGGGAGGCAGAGGTTGTGGTGAGCCGAGAAGGTGCCATTTCAGCCTGGGTGACAGAGCAACACTCTGTCTCAAAAAAAAAAAAAAAAAAAAGGGAGGCCGAGGCGGGTGGATCACGAGGTCAAGAGATCGAGACCATCCTGGTCAACATGGTGAAACCCCGTCTCTACTAAAAAGTACAAAAAATTAGCTGGGCATGGTGATGTGTGCCTGTAATCCCAGCTACTCAGGAGGCTGAGGCAGGAGAATTGCCTGAACCCAGGAGGCGGAGGTTGCGGTGAGCCGAGATTGCGCCATTGCACTCCAGCCTGGGTAACAACAGTGAAACTCTGTCTCAAAAAAAAAAAAAAAAAAAAAAAAAAAAAATAGAAGTGTTCATGTTTAATATTTAATGCTCTGGACCCAACTCAAATAACTTTCTTACATACATGGCACAGGGAAGAAATATGGATAGTAAGAGGCCCAGAGACTTCAGACATGCTCAGGCATATCTGCAGGATTGGAGAGTTGGGGTCAGTTGGGTCTACCTGTATTAGGATTTCAGTAATCCCAAGGAGGGAACAATGACCAGAAACATGAGGCTGAAGATTATTGGAGAGAACAGACTTCTTTTTTTTTTTTGGAACTTTTTTTTTTAAATTGCATTTTAGGTTTTGGGGTACCTGTGAAGAACATGCAAGATTGTTGCATAGGTACACACATGGCAGTGTGATTTTCTGCCTTCCTCCCCATCACCTATATCTGGCATTTCTCCCCATGCTATCTCTCCCCAACTCCCCACCCACTGCTGTCCCCCCTCTATATCCCCGCAACAGACGCCAGTGTGTAGTGCTCCCCTCCCTGTGTCCATGGAGAACAGACTTCTAAATGCTCCCATTAATTATTTTATCTATTCATTTAGAGATGCGGTTTTGCTATGTTGCCCAGGCTGAACTTAAACTCTTCGCCTCAGGCAATCCTCCTGCCTCAGCTTCTGTAGTAGTCGGAACTACTGGTGCAGGCCACTGCTGCTAGCTCCTTTTAATTATGTGACTGATTCACCAACAAATAGCTATGGAATATTACTACTGCTCTAGGTATCAGGGATACAATGGTGAATAAAATAGTTTCTGCCCGGCCGGGCTTGGTGGCTCAAGCCTGTAATCCCAGCACTTTGGGAGGCCGAGGTGGGTGGATCACGAGGTCAAGAAATCGAGACCATCCTGGTCAACATGGTGAAACCCCGTCTCTACTAAAAATACAAAAAATTAGCTGGGCATGGTGGCACATGCCTGTAATTCCAGCTACTCAGGAGGCTGAGGCAGGAGAATTGCCTGAACCCAGGAGGTGGAGGTTGCGGTGAGCCGAGATCGCACCATTGCATTCTAGCCTGGGTAACAAGAGCGAAACTCCATCTCAAAAAAAAAAAAAAAAAAAAAATAAAATAGTTTCTGCCCTTATGGAGCTTATATTGTTAGTAGGGGAGATAGGGAATAAATACATAAATAAATGATGCCAGTGACCAGAGTATGGGAAGAATTTAAAATAGGCTGAATGATAGAATGTGCATGCTCTTTTAGACAAGCTGGAAAGGGAAGACCTCTCTGAGAAGGTCACATATGAAAAGAGATCTGCATGAAGTAGCCACAGAAGATACACGAGAGAAGAGCATTCTGAGTAGAGGGATGGGAATGGCAAGGTAGCCGTGTGACTAAAATGCACGGAGCAACTAAGAAGGGTAGAAAATGATGCCTTAAGCAATGTACTAGAGGGGGAAGCTGCTCACCTGGACAGGTGAGAGTTCCTAGACTTTTGGCATAGCATCCATACCATTCTATGCCTTAATCCTGAGAAACTGTCCCAGGTACCCTGGGAGAAAGAGATTATGGAAAAAAGGATGTAATAAATGGTAGAACCATATCAGGACAGAAATCATTGGAGATGGAAAGAAAAAGCAGCTATGCATTCATTTTACACATCTCAACAAAAATGGGGAAGCTGTTTTCTTCATTTTAGCATAGCAACAGGTAGAAACAGGACAACTACCACTATATTGTTGCAGGGGACCTCAACCAATTGATCCACGGCTGAGGCTGGCCAGAAACTAGAGCAGAAAAAATCCTATGTTTCAAATTGAAGGAAAAGAGGGCTGGTTTTTTTTTTCCCCCTGAGAAGGAGTTTCATTCTTGTTGCCCAGGCTGGAGTGCAACGGTGCAATCTCAGCTCCCTGCAACCTCCGCCTCCCCAGTTCAAGCAATTCTCCTACCTCAGGATACTGAGTAGCTGGGATAACAGGTGCATGCCACCACGCCCAGCTAATTTTTGCATTTTTAGTAGAGAGGAGATTTCACTTTGTTGGCCAGGCTGGTCTCAAACCCTTGATCTCGTGATCCACCCACCTTGACCTCTCAAAGTGCTGGAATTACAGGCATGAGCTACTGCTCCTGGCCAAGAGGGCTGTTTTTATTTAAAAATGTATGATACGATTTTGTCAGCCACATTAAATGGAAGCAGCTGTCTATGGCTGAGATGCCAGTGGTTTTACTGGTGCAATAAGATGAAGAGTTTCAGTAACTATTTATTGAGTGCCTATTGGCCAGACATTCTGGCTAGGTGCCAGAATAAAAAGAATTAACATTGTGCGAGGCACTGTGCAGAAATAACCATAGATTATTTTATTATATTCTTTTTTTTTTTTTTGAGACAGAGTGTCACTCTGTCACCCAGGCTGGAGTGCAATGGTGCGATCTTGGCTCACTGCAACTACTGCCTCTCGGGTTCAAGCAATTCTCTGCCTCAGCTTCCTGAGCAGCTGGGATTAGAGGTACCCGCTACCACCCCTGGCTAATTTTTATATTTTTAGTAGAGATGAAATTTCACCATCTTGGCCAGGTTGGTCTTGAACTCCTGACCTCGTGATCTACCTGCCTTGGCCTCCCAAAGTGCTGGGATTATAGGCATGAGCCACCACGCCCAGCAATTTAATATCCTTTTTTTTTTTTTTTTAAGACATGGGGTCTTGCTATGCTGCCCAGGTTGGAGTACAGTGGCTATTCATGGGCTTGACCCCACTACTGATCAGCACCGGAGTTTTGACCTGCTCTATTTCCGACCTGGGCCAGTTCACCCCTCCTTAGGCAACCTGGTGGTCCCCTGCTCCCAGGAGGTCACTATACTGATGCTGAACTTAGTGCGGACACCCAATCCGCATAGGGCACTACAGCCCAGAACTCCTGGGCTCAAGCAATCCTTCTACCTCAGCCTCTCGAGAAGCTGGGACTACAGGTACTCACCATCACGCCTGGCTGCAATTTAATTCTTACAAAAACTTTAATAAACTGGCCGGGCACAGTGGCTCATGTCTATAATCCCAGCACTTTGGGAGGCCAAGGCAGGCAGATCACCTGATGTCAGGAGTTCAAGACCAGCCTGCCTGACACGTAGTGAAACCCCATCTCTACTAAAAAATACAAAAATTAGCTGGGTGTGGTAGTGCATGCCTATAATCCCAGCTATTTAGTAAGCTGAGGCAGGAGAATCGCTTGAACACAAGAGGTGGAGGGTGTAATGAGATGAGATTGCACCACTGCAGTCCAGCCTGGGTGACAGGGCAAGAGTCTGTTTCTCAAAAAACAAAAAAACAAAAAACCAGACATTCAGCCAGCAAGGTGGCTTACACCTATAATCCCAGCACTTTTTTTTTTTTTTTTTTTTTTCGAGACGGAGTTTCGCTCTTGTTACCCAGGCTGGAGTGCAATGGCACGATCTTGGCTCACCACAACCTCCGCCTCCTGGGTTCAGGCAATTCTCCTGCCTCAGCCTCCTGAGTAGCTGGGATTACAGGCAGGTGCCACCATGCCCAGCTAATTTTTTGTATTTTTAGTAGAGACGGGGTTTCACCATGTTGACCAGGATGGTCTCGATCTCTTGACCTCGTGATCCACCCACCTCAGCCTCCCAAAGTGCTGGGATTACAGGCTTGAGCCACCACGCCCGGCTAATCCCAGCACTTTTGAGAGGCTGAGGTGGGTGGACTATCTGAGGTCAAGTGTTCGAGACCAGCCTAGCCAATGTGGCAGAAACCCTATCTCTACAAAAATTAGCGGGGTACAGTGGTGCACAAGTATCACTTGAGCCCGGGAGGTGTGGAGGTTGCAGTGAGCCCAGATCATGCCACTGCACTCTAGCCTGGGCTACGGGGGTGAAAACCCTGTTAAAAAACAAAAACAAACAAACAAAAACACACACACACAAACAAATGAAAAACTGCTCTAATAAGCCTTACAGGCCAGGTATGGCGGCTCATGTCTGTAATCCCAGCACTCTGGGAGGCGGAGGTGGGCAGATTACCTGAAGTCAGGAGTTTGAGACCAGCCTGGCCAACATGGTGAAACCCCATCTCTACTAAAAACACAAAAATTATCTAGGTGTGGTGGCACATGCCTGTAGACCCAGCTACTCAGGGGGCTGAGGCAGGAGAATCACTTGAACCTGGGAGGCGGAGGTTGCATCCAGCGGAGATCCAGCCATTGAACTCCAGCTTGGGTGACTCAGCAAGATTGCCTCAAAAAAAAAAAAAAAAAAAAAAAAAGAAGAAAAGAAAAAATCTTACAATAACAGAAAAAATACGTCAGTACTATTAGTACGATTATTATTTGCATTTCACAGATGCAAAGTCCAAAGCTTAGGGTGATTACACACAAATGGTGGAGCTGGGATTTAAATACAGGCAGTTTTACCCCTAATTCATTACGTTTAGTGTTAGGAGTTGCTACCTTATTCTTGCTGATGTAGCCCTGCTGTGCTCCAAGGTTAGCATCGTCTAATGAAGCTTGGGCTACAGATTGTTCCCCTTATCTTGTATTCATTGCTGTCAGCTGAAAGAGCCCACTTATCCATGTGCTTTTGGATTCCGCTTTGAGGGCAGTGGTGAGAGACAGTTATTCCTGCCACATCACTGAGCCATTAATTTATCTGACATGCATTTTGTACCTTTCTATATGTCAACCATATTCTTTCCCTTAATCCCAAGACCTCAACTGGATATGAGTCTGTGGAGGAGGAGGAATGGTCAGTTTGTGAGAGGAAGTTTGAACTATGAAGCAGAACACCTGAGATGGCAGCAATGCTGGCAGGAACAGATGGCAGCCAGTGTTAGGACGGGGAGAAATGACAGTGAAGTGGTAGTGAAAATGCCTAATGAATCTTATTTGGTTTTCATTTAATCTTTCAACAATACTGCAAGCTAAATACTTAACCTGAGAGGCTTAGTAAACGTGCCCAAGTCCAAGATGGTAAATTGCAGAGCCAGAATATGAACTCACATATGTTAGTCCATATTGTTTGAAGTGTCTCTCACAAGGTTAAGCCATTATAACTGTTATTATTTGGAAAAATAAAGATATTGATGAATAATGCATATTGCCAGTTTTGCTAAATGCCACCTTGCCAGGCAGGAAAATTAATCTCACAGAAAGCAAGGTGGCTGAATTTTAGCACATAGTCTAAAACTTGTCACTTTCATATAAAGGAGAAAGTGACAAACTTTAATTTTTTTTTTAAGACAGGGTTTCACCATGTTGGTCAGGCCAGTCCTGAACTCCTGACCTCAGGTGATCCGCCCACCTCGGCCTCCAAAGTGCTTGGATTATAGGCGTGAGCCACCGCGCCCGCTTATATTACTTTAAAACTGTAATTAACTTACACTTTGTAAAGGAAAGAAAATAAGTCCACAAGCTAAATTTTGAAGTATTAGATCCTTTTGTAAACTTCTGCTCTTCGTATTGTCAATGTCAAAGAGAGTTTTCAGGGGGCCCAAACTGGCTCCAAACTGTTATTAAATAAGTCTTATTTTTATTGCTGTACATTTCTCCTGAAATCAATTCTCACTGCTTATGTGGTTAGAAAAATAGTTTCTGCTATTGAATATAAAACTCAAATTATCCATGGATATGCAATAAACTTCACAAATAGCAGTGCATCTATGCCCCAGGTCTAATCTCACATTTTTATGCAAAAATACAGATTGAATAAGGAGAGTGTAATTCTCAGAAAAATGATCATCATGTATGTGGATACTCACCAGATATGCAAAAATCTTACCGGTTCTGATTTTGACCTGTCATGGAATCTGTGAAGTCATTTGCCATGTTGTTTTTCTTTTTTCTGCCAGAGATAAAAAAGTTCTCTTAATATATTTCAAACCATTTCCTTTTTCCTAAATAACTAGTGATTGTTCTTTTTCATTTACTATGATAACTTAAAAACGCTGTCCAAAAATATCCTGCAAAATTTGCATTACGGTGAAACTACTCGGCCGGCGTCGTGTGGGTAATGAGGCTACATTTCGGAGGCGTGAGGGTGATGATGCAAATGAAAACGTCTCCATTAGGAATTCCCATCCTCAAATGGGCCAAAGAAATGACACCCACCTAGTGCGGCCAGAAACTCATAAGGGGTGCCGGAGCCAAGGGGCTTCGGGAAGCGCGAGCGCGTTCTCTCTGGGGTCCTGGAGCCCCCTACTCATGCGTGGGAATTCCAGTTCCCACCGTGGGAAGGAAATCTTCACATACCTCCCGTCACTGTCTTGAGTGACCTTCAGCTACTCGGCATTACTTTTCCTGTCTTTGAAAACTCGGAGAGAAACAGCCGCCACCTGCCTGAGGCCAATGCAACAAACTCACATCACAGGCGAGTCTGAGCCCCGCAGGAATGGGTGCACAGCGGCCTCCTGAGCCGTTTCTCCCTAGCTCAGTTTTTGCACTCCCGGCCGCGCGAACGCGGAGGAGGCGCTCGGAGGCCCGCAGGTTTCAGACCCCTCGCCCGGTAGGGTCGCGCAGGGGTTGGGGAGAGAGGAGTGTTGGCCGCGGGGCCTCGGCCCTCCCCTGGGGCGGGGCTTGAGCGCCTCCCCGCCCCCTTCTTTCCCCCTTTTTCTGCTCCCCCCCGCCCTTTTCCAGCCGCCCCCGCAGGAGGAAAGGGAGAGGAGGGGAAGGGAAAGTCTGTTCTGTGGAAAGGGGCGGAAGGAGGGGGAGAAAAGGAAAACGGGAACAGAAACATGGCGGTCTGCTCTTGGGACGACAGCGCTGCAGGCAGCTCCTAGGCGACCCGCCGGCCGCACTGCCCTACGGCACAGAGCGCCGAGGCGCCCGTGCTGACCAGCGCTCCGGCGGTTACCGCCGGCTGCGGGCGGCGCCCCTCCGACACCCAGCCCGCGAGGCGGCGCAGGCGCAGACGGGGGCGAGGCGGCGGCGGCCGCTGGAGCGAGTCTCCCGCCCTGCCCTGCCGAGCGCGCCCAGGCCGCGAAGCCGGCGCTTTCATGCTCCAGGAAGAAGCCGTGTCGCGGTAGCGCTGACTGAGGAGCGGGCGGCAGGTGAGGCTGCGGCGCGGGGCCTTTGGCGAAGGAAGCCTGCGTGGTGCCCTCGCGGGCCTGCGCTGGGAGGCTGAGAGGGCGCCGGGCAGGTAGAACCGGGAGCGCTGAGTTCCGAGTGGCCAGCCCGCGGGGGGTCGCCGAGGAGGCTGAGAGTGACCGCGGCTGGCGTTCTCGGCCTAGTTTCTCCGCGGTTTCCGGGGGCGGGGAGTCCCCGGAGCCTGCGGGAAGCGGTCGGGGAAAGGCTGCTTCTGAAGAGCCTCCCCGCGCCGCCTCCCGGGCCCCTGAGAATCGTTTGCGTTCTAGAGCGAGAGGTCTTGGCCCGGGTACCGCCGGGGCGCCTGCGCCTGGGTTGGGGCGGGGGCGCGGAGGGAGCGGGGTCGGGGGTTCCCAGAGGGGTTGAGGCCGAGAGTGCGGAGAGCTGGAGCCAGGGGTGGCGGGCTGTCTCGAGAGGGATTGGGGGGCTGAGAAGCGCCGGGGACAACTGGGAGGAGGGGGACCTGGGCAGGTGTCGCCTGTGAGTTGAGGACGTTTTCTTCTCTGCCTTACGGTGGCTGATCCTCAGAGCTTCTTTGTGGGGGATGATTTTTAGGAAGGCAGGATCCTTTTAACTCTGTAGTAACTAAATAAAACCAAGGAATGAACCTCTAGTGCTGAGTCCTGTAAAGAGCTGTAACTTTTTTTTTTAAAGAATGCTGTCATATTTTTTTTCCTCTCTTTTTCTGCTTCATAGACTTTTTTTCCTCTCGAAGACCATCTTTTATCTGCACTAATAGGGAATGACCCAGTTTTTAAATAGTACCCCCTCCTCCTCTCATTATCTATGTGTGTGTCACACGGGAAAATTTAGGGTGTTTACCGCAGTTACTTGCGCAAATGTGAAGGAAAGTGTCATTTCCAGTGAATCCTCAGCTGTCTCTGCCTGTGCCTCCAAGATACCGTCAAGCGTAGTAGCCTGAGAAATTGACCCACTGATCCTGCTTAATTGCGTGCAAACCCGTGTTGAGGCATTCTTCCCAGGCCCTAATTTACTTAGGAATAGGTTTTCCCTTCCAGTCTGAGTATAATGAAAGGGGAGAACCTTAGTGCTATGGCGCTAAGTTCTGGATAAATACTTGATTTGATGTGATCGTGTGTATTACACTATCAGGAATGCAGAGCGTTGTATGATTTTTCTGTGTACCTGCGATAAGAGCAATATTAGTTGCAAAAGGAAAATTTTATCTCTGAACATTAAAGGATACCTATTCTTGATCACCATAACCTTGAAAAAAAAAAAAAAAAAAGAAACTCTGTATTTTCTGTCCTGTTCTTTGTATTACTGTTAAAGAGTTGCTAAACTGCCTTCTTGCTGTGAGATTGGGAACTCAGTAGTGAACTTAGATTTGTATTCATGAACATGATCTGCCTCTCATATAGGCTTGCTTTGACTTGTCTTTTTCAGTAATGGCAAAGGGTTTTCTGCCACTCAATCCACAGTTTCCTCCCCGTTGGTATCTCCGTTGACCATTTTGCAAAATAGTTTTTTGAGTTTAGGGGTCTGATCTTTTTTTTTTTTTTTTTGAGACGGAGTTTCGCTCTTGTTACCCAGGCTGGAGTGCAATGGCGCGATCTCGGCTCACCGCAACCTCCGCCTCCTGGGTTCAGGCAATTCTCCTGCCTCAGCCTCCTGAGTAGCTGGGATTATAGGCACGCACCACCATGCCCAGCTAATTTTTTGTATTTTTAGTAGAGACGGGGTTTCACCATGTTGACCAGGTTGGTCTCGATCTCTTGACCTCGTGATCCACCCGCCTCGGCCTCCCAAAGTGCTGGGATTACAGGCTTGAGTCACCGCGCCCGGCCGGGGTCTGATCTTTTGTATAACCTATTTTAGTGAACTGACTATATTGCCTTAACTTTGGCCAATAGTACCTCGTTCAATGTACAGTACTACTATTTAGACTTACTGATTTGGATAATAGAAAAGCTATGATGTTAGAAATGCTGACGCTGTAGCTGTATATTGGAGAAATTTTGAAGTTGTATACTGGAGTAGTAATTTAGTTCTGTATACTTTGTAAATGAGTGCATTCTGTTGTCGAGAGTAAATACAGTATTTTGTAGTATAAACTTAAGCTTTTAGCTGAAGAAATTGGCAGCATGGTTGGAATGTGGAGACTATTCTTAAAACGCAAATGTTTTAAATTACTAGGAACTGCAGTGGTGTGTAGGCTGTAACAATTCCTGGTGCCAAATTTGGGAGATTAGTTGATTGAGGTGCTTTCTCTAAAGAAACATATTAGGTTTCCGCAATAAAAGCAAATTTGTAGCTATACACAAGGGATTTTACATTATAAGTAATAACTGAATAAGGCACCTTTATTTGCTCTTTGTGTATCTGCCAGTTAAGACCAAAACATCTCGTATTTTCATTGGAGTTTCCTGCCAAAACAAATATTGGTTTTGCATTGGCTTTGCTGCTCAGTTTGAAAGCTAGAGGAGTCTCTCAGAGCCTATTCTGGTTCTGGAGGCTACCTGATAAAAAAAAAAAATTGAAAGCTACGTTTTAGTCATATGTTTGCACCTTAAGTACAGGTTGTATAGTAAAAAAGAAAGTTGCTGAGTCAGTGGCAGGTTGTTTCGTTTGTTCTTTTTGATCTGCAAAACAGAATTTCTGTCATAGTTTGAATTTCCAATGTAATGTGGTTGCTGAATAGTAAGGGCAAATAAGCTTTTATAATAACTGAATTGAAATGATAATTTTCTTTATACTGGTACCACAGATTGTCAGCTTGACAGATAGACTTGTAGTAAGGGGATGCCTTGTTGGAATTGAAAATTCTTTTTTTTTTTTTTTTTTTTTTTTTTTTTTGAGATGGAGTCTCACTCTGTAGCCCAGGCTGGAGTGCAGTGGCACAATCTCAGCTCACTGCAACCTCCGCCTCTCAGGTCCTGGTTCAAGCAATTCTCCTGCCTCAGCCTCCTGAGTATCTGGGATTATAGGCATGCACCACCATGCCCAGCTAATTTTTGTGTTTTTGGTAGAGATGGGGTTTCACTGTGTTGACCATGATGGTCTTGAACTCCTTACCTCGTGATCTGCCTGCCTTGGCTTCCCAAAGTGCTGGGATTACAGGCATAAGCCTTTGCATCTGGCTGGGAAATTCCTTTTTGACATTTAAAATTTGGAGAAAGGATTTCACATAGTAAGTACAGCTACTGTAAAACAATAGTTCTTTAGCATCAGATGGTAGGATATTCCAAATTAGGTAGTTTTATTATTTGAAATTTAAAACTTAGTGTTTTGTGGGAAGAAGTTAGTTTAAAGCTTTAAAACATTTTCTTTTTTTTTTTTAAATTTCTCTTTCTTTTGTACACAATTTCAGAGAAAAGCTTTAAAACATTTTCTACATATGCATGTGGATGTAATAGAGCTTAATATGGCATTTGAAAACTTTTTTTGAGATAGATTTTCACTCTGTCACTCAAGCTGGAGTACCGTGGTGCGATCTTGGCTCCCTGCAACCTCTACCTCCCAGATTCAAGTGATTCTTCTGCCTCAGCCTCCTAAGTAGCTGGGATTACAGGCATCTACCACCACACCTGGCTAAATTAAAAATTTTTTTTTTAGTAGGGAAGTGGTTTCTCTATGTTGGCCAGGCTGGTCTTGAACTCCTGATGATGTGATCCACCTGCCTAGGCCTCCCAAAATGCTGGGATTTCAGGCTTGAGCCACTATGCCCAGCCTTTGAAAGTTTTAATTGAAAAAAATGTAGCATAATTAAAAGAAATTTAAAAGAAAACTTTTAAATTACTCTCACCGATCTAGCACTTACATTTTTCTGTACTTTAATCCTGTTATACTTCTATAATATAGTAGTATAATATTCTAGTCCTATCTATGCTTGTGTATAATTCTATGATTAGTGTTAATATAATTGGCTTTCAATTTAACATGCTTTCCCTGGTGCCACATAACTGTTATTTTATGGCTTTTAGTAGTCCAAAGTTTTGTTTACTGTCTCAGTTTATTTAACCACTTCCATATCTTAACATTTTAGTAATTCCACTTTTTTACTCTTTTTTTTTTTTTTGGACAGAGTCTCACTGTGTTACCCAGGCTAGGGTGCAGTGGCATGATCTCAGCTTATTGCAGCCTCTACCGCCTGGGTTCAAGTGATCCTCCTGCCTTAGCCCTCTAGTAGCTGGGACTACAGGTGTGCGCGCGTGTGTGCGCGTCACCACACCTGCTAACTTTTTGTGTTTTTTGTGGAGACAGGGTTTTGCCATATTGCCCATGCTGGTCTTGGTCTCCTAAGCTCAAGTGATCTACCCACCTCAGCCTCTCAAAATGCTAGGATTACAGGTGTGAGTCACCATGCTGGCCCATACTTTTTTACCCTTAAAATAATGCTATGGGCCAGGCGCGGTGCCTCAAGCCTGTAATCCCAGCACTTTGGGAGGCCGAGGCGGTGGATCACGAGGTCAAGAGATCGAGACCAACCTGGTCA